TACCATAGTTGTTCTATTAAAAGCACATAAATATATACCATAGTTGCTCTATTAAAAGCACATAGATATGTACCATACTTGCTCTATTAGAAGCACATAGATATGTACCATAGTTGCTCTATTAAAAATACATAAATATATACCATAGTTGCTCTATTAAAAACACATAGATATGTACCATAGTTGCTCTATTAAAAACACATAGATATGTACCATAGTTGCTCTATTAAAAATACATAAATATATACCATAGTTGCTCTATTAAAAACACATAGATATGTACCATAGTTGCACTATTAAAAACACATAGATATGTACCATAGTTGCTCTATTAAAAACACATAGATATGTACTATAGTTGCTCTATTAGAAGCACATAGATATGTACCACCATAGTTGCTAGAAGTACAAAGATATGCACCATAATTGCTCTATTAAAAACACATAGATAGGTACCATAGTTGCTCTATTAAAAACACATAGATATGTACTATAGTTGCTCTATTAGAAGCACATAGATATGTACCATAGTTGCTCTATTAGAAGCACATATATATATATGTACCATAGTTGCTCTATTAGAAGCACATATATTTGTACCATAGTTGCTCTATTAAAAACATAGATATGTACCATAGCTGCTCTATTAAAAATACATAGTGGGTGGTGGGCTAATTTGCATATAATTTGCATATCATTTACATAATACTCAAAATTGGCCAAAGCACATTTACACCCACACAATAAACAACATATATTTTCAAAAACAAAGTTGCAGATATTTATTTGCTTCACACAGTTTTATAAACACTTTTATTTTGGGCACTTTTGAAATATTAATGAGCTCGGTCACAGTGCAAATATTTTTTTTATTGGAGTCAAAATATTATGTTTCACAATTTAGAAGAGTTTGAATTTGAAAATGAAACATTCTCGAAATGCAAATGCTGCAGACTAAAAAGAAATTGAAAAGGTTAAATGAAACTAATTTGAAACGTTTCAGCCAGGATTATGTTTCATGATCTTATTTATTACAAAATTCTTCTTCAAAAAATCGTCCACGTAATTATTTTGCGGATTGCTGGTTATTATTCGTACCATCAGCTTCTACAACGTTTACATTTACAGTAAATGAACAAACAAATAAAACTTCCAAACAATCATCAAAGTTACGACGTGACTTAACTTACTTCGCGATGTTATACACCAGTTATACCAATAATTTCTCTTACTCAGTCATGATGCCATGCAAAAAATTTTACTTCTTTGAATTTGAATTAGTTTTATCAGAATGCCACATGGTAATGCTGGTAGAACCCAAAGTTTTCCGAATGATAGTGATCATAAAAATTACATTGCAGAAGTAAAGCGATGTCGTAGCACGATGTGTTGGTATGGATTTCAGATTAAAACTACATGTTGCTTTTCGAAAGAGGTGATTAGCAATTTTAACCGGTAAAAGAAGTCTTGAAAGAAGAGTTTTTACATGATTCACGATGATAACAATTCAAATGTATTTTACCCAATCACACAATAAACACGTTTTTTCTTGAGTAGCGTAAACTGACCGTGAACTCCATTTTGCCCATGTTACATCGGGGTGGAATTGATTTTGAAAGAATTTTAGCTTTCAATCTAAATAGTGTGTCGATCTTCAAAGTATTTACTTATGAACAAAGAGGTACTAATTTTACATAATTGACTTGTATTGTTTATAAGCCGCTACCACGTCGTGCGAGTATGTCTATTGTTTACAAATTATAATCCACGACTGGCAGGATGCGTGTCGGTCAGTACGTAAGTATATTAAAAATATGACAATAGTCCTGGTCGGAAGCGTTTCCATGGTGGTCGCTAATTTTGAGTGCTGGTCGGGCCGACCAGCGTGACATGATCCCCAATGAAAAAAGCACTGTGGCGGTCTTGCTAATCACCGTGGCGGTGTCAGACCGGTGTGGTGGCAAATCGAAGCACTGTGGCAGGACCGCCACGCTGTTTACATCCTGGGGAGAACACTGTGATATGTACCATAGGTGCTCTATTAGAAGCACATATATATGTACCATAGTTGCTCTATTAAAAGCACATATATATGTACCATAGTTGCTCTATTAGAAACACATAGATATGTACCATAGTTGCTCTATTAAAAGCACATAGATATGTACATTGTACTATAGTTTCTCTATTAGAAGCACATAGATACATACCATAGTTGCTCTATTAGAAGCACATATATATGTACCATAGTTGCTCTATTAAAAACATATATGTACCATAGTTGCTCTATTAAAAACACATAGATATGTACCATAGTTTCTTTATTAAAAGCACATAGATATGTACCGTACTTGCTCTATTAGAAGCAAATAGATATGTACCATAGTTGCTCTATTAAAACACATTGATATGTACCATAGTTGCTCTATTAGGAGCACATATATATGTACCATAGTTGCTCTATTAGGAGCACATAGATATGTACCATAGCTGCTCTATTAAAAGCACATAGATTTGTACCATATTTTCTCTATTAAAAGCATGTAGATATGTACCATAGTTGCTGTTAAAAGTAAATAGAAATGTACCATAGTTTCTATATTAAAAGCACATAGATATGTACCATAGTTGCTCTATTAAAAGCACATAGATATGTACCGTACTTGCTATATTACAAGCACATAGATATGTACCGTACTTGTTCTATTAAAAGCACATAGATGTGTACCATTAAAAGCACATATATATGTACCATAGTTGCTCTTTTAAAAGCCAATAGATATGTACCATAGTTGTTCTATTAGAAGCAAATAGATATGTACCATAGTTGCTCTATTAAAAGCTCATAGATATGAACAATAGTTTCTCTATTAAAAGCACATAGATAACTACCATAGTGGCTCTATTAAAAGTACATAGATATGTACCATAGTTGCTCTATTAGAAGCACATAAATATGTACCATAGTTTCTCTATTAAAAGAACATAGATATGTACCTTAATTGCTATATTAGAAGCACATAAATATGTACCATAGTTGCTCTATTAAAAGCACATAGATATGTACCGTACTTGCTATATTACAAGCACATAGATATGTACCGTACTTGCTATATTACAAGCACATAGATATGTACCATTAAAAGCACATATATATGTACCATAGTTGTTCTATTAGAAGCGTATAGATATGTACCATAGTTGCTCTATTAAAA